AACTTGTATTATTAAAGCAAAAATAAATTATTTCATTATTAAGTTTAAATTCAATTATAACAAAAAATTTGAATTAAAAAATTATAAAAAAAACAAGAATTTTTAAATACTTAATTTGATATTAATATCTATTTTTTCAAAATTTTAAGATATCTTCAAGTTATATTTTATTCAAGAATAAAAATGTTATCGTTTTTTCAAAACCATATAAAATCGTTTTAGAAATAGTCCTTATGGTTTTTATTTTGCTCTAAGAGTGGTTCCACATCACTTCTTTTTGTTAGTGGCAAGGGCATTTTTGTCCATTTATTTACTTCCCTAATTCTCTTTGAAAAGTTATGTATATATATATATAGATATGTCTATATATATTATATATATATAACACAGGTGAATGATCGTGTAAAGAAAGAAGTTACAATGAAAAATGTAAAAAAATAAAATTGAACTCTTGATAACTTTTAATCTAATATATATCTATGATATATATTTTAGTTGATGTCTCATTCTTGTCCCATCTTGTTCCACTTATTTTGGTGGAACAACTTTTTTTGTCCTACGGTGTCCCATTTTGTCATAGTTCTTGTTCCTGTCACATGTTGTACTAAACGTGGTACAATGAGTGTTTGTTCTGTCTCATGTCGCGCAAAACATGGGATAGTGAATTTTATCCCGTTCTATCCAATGTACCAAATGCAACCTAAGGCGCCTGAAACCCCCTAGGTTTAAAAAAAAATCAACACAGAAACATTTGATTTCAAGGCCAAACACAACTGTTATTTTATGTATCATTTATTCGGCCTCCCTAAAATTCGATCCACTTGGATTTGACCCATTTAGTCAACGCTTTCTACATCTAAAAATTTACAGCTTCTTCATACACGATGAATTCATGATTTCCATCTACCATTTCCTACGTCTATGCCAGAAAGCTCCATAAATGACAAACTTCCATTACTATAATGTTGAGTTATTTTACGTTGTCATAGATTCACAACTTGTGGAATTGGAGAATCGGTTTACCGAGACTAGCACTGAGTTGCTTCTTTCGACAGCCTGTCTAAATCTAAGCGACTCATTTTCATCTTTTCATAAGAGTAAGTTGATTCATCTTGCTCGTTCCTATCAGGGTGATTTTTGTGAATATGAAACTTTTGACACTTGATCCACTAGAAACTTATATTGTCAGTATGCAAATTGCAACAGAGTTCCCTAATTCAGATGTAATGAGTGATTTTGTGTAGAAAATGGTTGAAACAAAAAGGGGTAAAGTGTTCTCTGTCATGTATTTGCTTATACAACTAGTAGTTATGTTACTTGTTTCAACTACAACGGCCAAGAGGACATTTTCAGATATAAACATTGTGAAGAATAATTTGCGCAATAAAATGGGAGATCAATGGATGAATGATTGTTTGGTTATTTGTATAGAAACAGACGTTTTTACTAAGGTTAATAATAATAGGTTTTAGAAAATGAAAACCCAACGCCATTTATCGTGGTTAAACCCGCTAACTATCGCGGCTGCCCCGCCATCTATCGCGGTTAAACCCTCGAATTATAAATGCCCTAAATTAGCTCTTTGCATTGTGCACGACCGTTCATATTCTTTTTGTGATTTGGCAAGACCTTGTCTATTACTCTTGTAATTCGACAAGATCGTGGCACAATCGTATGTACACTATCCAAACATGGTTGTGGGACCTTTCTAGCAAATTTTGGTACACCCGTGCCATTTCCAAAGTTAGCATAAATGTTTCATGATGAGTATAATCGATTAGAAACGTATAGTACTCATGTAGGCAAAATTCAGACAAATCTAAATACATTTACACGGACCAAATGTGAGTATGATGTGATCTGAAACTAGTAGAGACGCAAACGCGCACACACATACACACAACACACGCACACGATACAATATTTTTCATAAAACGTTATGTGCATGCCATGTGTTTTAAGGATTTTTCGAGCATGTCGGATGCTTTGTGTTATGATGTTAATGCATGAGAATATGTTTGTTACATGAGAGGGATCACTTGCTAGGGTGTCGATTCTATTAGGTGGGACATCGTGAAGATGGACAAAATCAAAATATATACGGTACCCTTGTGATATATGTATATATAGGGGCCTAATCAAATGAGAACTGAATAGTTTGTGGTAATTGTGAGGTCCAATTTCAACCACAAACTAACGGATAAATTAGGAAATTAATAATTATGATATTTTGAGTTAAAATTATAATTAGAGGACATATTAGGTATTTTTAAAAAACTCCTCTCTCCAATCTCCGGCCTCCGGTGAAATCGGTATCACAATATATCACAATGTATATCACATTATGTATTACAATGAGTATCACATTGTGTATCTTTGTTTTTAATGTTTGAGTTGGTATCACAATGGTATCACAATATATCACAATGTGTATCTTTGTGATTACTTGGTACCTGCCGGATTAATGTTCACCGGAGGCCGGAAATTGGAGGTCGGAGAGATGAGAGAGAAGAGAGAAGTTTTTTAAAAATACCTAAAATGTCCTCTAATTATAATTTTAACTCAAACTACCATAATTATTAATTTTCTAATTTATCCGTTGATTTGTGGTTGAGATTAGATCTCATAGTTACCACAAACTAATCAGTTCTCTCTTGAATGACCCATATATATATATATATATATATATATATATATATATATATATATAGGGGGAAGATCAAATGTTAACCAATAATTTTGTGTTAACTTTGAAAACCATGACAACCAATCAAATTTCATTCTTCTTGTAGGTTTATGTCATGTTCACATTTTAATTACAAGGGTATTTCAGTAAATTGATTTGATATGTAACTCCCAAACAATTAATAGGGAGTTACAAATCATCAAATCTCAAAAAATATGCATTTATGATATTAATATTTTTTTTTAATCTTTATCTTCAATGTTCATTGTTTTATCAGTATTTAATTTGCATAGAAAACACGGTAATAACAAATTTCGGTATCGATCAAGCTAATATGGATAACGCAATGAAAAATAAATCGACAACAGTGAGAAGATTAAAATGGTTTATGATGACAATCGGAGTTCGAGGCCGGGAATTGAAAAAATTAACCAAAGCGAATGTCTTGGTAATATATTTTTTTATTTTTTTAGATTCGTTTTAATCGAAATTATGTTCATTACGATGTGTTGTGTTTTTTATAATTCATCTTGTATTGATAACTTTTTTCTTTAATTATTAAAATACGTACCTAATTCACATGTTCAAATGGAAGTACATGCACGCCCCATTTTCGTATTGTCATATTACTGACTTTTATGAATCATGAACCATTGTGTTCATGTTACTTCTATCATATGAACACAAGTATTATTTTTTAAGCTTGATACCAAATCTTTATATTTGTGTAAGTGTTTGCACCTGATGTTCATAGCGTTGGGATTATGTGTTCATATATTTTATACGATATGAACAAGAGGTGAACACGATATGAACAAGGGGTGAACCTTAAACGGTGTGGATGCAATGCATGTATAAAACTCCAATTGACAAAAGATCGCTTTTGAATGTGTTTATAATGAAGAAACTATTGTTCACAAGCTGTTCATATCGTGTTCATACCTGCTTTTTTTTCTTTCATGTAGCAGTTATTCTTATTATGTTCATATTGTGTTCATAAATGCTATGCAATCCAAGTTCATATATATGTCAAAATTTTGTTCGTATTTGACATAATGGTTCATATATTTATAGTTGTGTTCATATGGTTCTTACATTAACAAAAAAAACATAGAATTTT